ATAAAGTTTATTTGCAAATTGCCCGTCTTTGCCCGCAGCATCTTGCCGCGAGACGCGTACGTCGCGATTGCACGTGCTCGTAAAACAGCGCCGGTAAATAATGAGGTGCGATAATGAGAAGCGTCACGTTTCAAAGGAAGTGGTCCCCTCGGTACGATAACTTCGCGTATAACCGTCGCATCATCGCGATTGAATTTTACCTCGCGATTTGAGGAACGCGATTAAAAGAAACGAAGATCGGTCCTATCTTTCTCCTCGATTATCGTCGAGCTTGAGGAATCTCGGGAGCAGAAAACGAGAAATAACGGCACCGGAATGAAAGTGGAAATATCGGTCGGTCATATCGGGACGCTGTGAATGCCTGTACGATGTTAATACGAAGATCAATCTTCTGGAGACCTTGTTGACTTCCAGGCGGCCAGGAAATGATCCTCGCGTTCTTTCACGTTGCGTGACATGTTCTCCAGAAAGGAGGTGGGATTTCTTTCCTTTTCCTTTTCCATCCTCGCCAATTAATTTTGCTCGCGCTCTCATTTGTACCTTTCCGCGATTCATTATCATCGTATAAATTTTTCGTCGTTCGCCTTCTTCCTTTTCCTTCCTCTCCGTCGCGATCTCTTGCGTTACGTTATTATTCCGAGAAAATACTTTGTAGCCAGGAAAAATGGCAACTAGGAACGGCAAGTCGATTGCGTGCACAATTTATCGGCCTGAATCGGCCGCGACGGGATTGTTTTTCGCGTTTTTATTATTGAATGATATTTCGCGTTTTTATTATTGAAAAAAAAAAAAAAAATAATAATCGATTTGCTACGGTAATGCGTGTACACACGCGCCACAGTTAGCAACAGTGACGTAGTTGGCGACGCGCAGAAAACGCCGATCGGGTGCTAACAGTTGCTATCTTATCTTTTTTTTCTGTGAGTATCAACATTCGGCGCTTGTCATGTATGGTAAACTCGTATCCATATCGGATACTGCCGCGTTACAATCTTTCCCACGTCTCTCTCGCCCGTGATGCTTCGTGTAGCAAGTTTTGATTTTTTTGTGAAGATCGAGACGACGTACCAAAATGTGACGTCAGTGAATATTAAGTAATATAAAACTTATATACACGTAAAGTAACAAATAATATGAAACTTACAAATATATACATGATCTTTGACGAATTTGTATCTGATTTACGATTTATAATAGCAGCGATTTTGCGTCTGATTAAAAGAAATAATTATCGGCAATTATATGGCAAAGAAACGATCGTTTCATCAAAGGAATAATCGAATCGCGATTCGCAATAAATCCTAAAAGCAATTTTGCGAGTCTGATTGGAGTCATTATGTCCCGCGCCAAGGCGAGGAGATCCGAATGCGACTCGAAGAAGCCGAGTTTGCTCACCGGCCAAGCAAACCGTGCCGATGAAAATCAGGCTAAATGACAACGATGTCGGTCGTCGTGATCGAACGTGTCGAATCGCGGCGACGAGTTTATTTTAAGCTCCCGGCCTAAGCACGTATATCTTATGTAAAGTAACCACATGTGCGTAGACAACAACTCGTTTTCGCCGCAGGTGCGAGAGCGAGCGAGCGAGCGAGCGAGCGAGCGAGCGCGTGTCACGGGAAGAAATCGTGCCTCGTCGAGCGTTGTCGTTTTAGGGAAGGAAATTTCCAAATTGCGTCATGAACGATCCTTTTCTCCGTTTCCTTCGTTTTGGACCATCTCCTGCATCAAATCTGTGCGAAAAATTGTCGATCGCGCCGGAAGGAATCCCGTTTTTCGCGAGAACCAGCGCGCGTTGCGCGTCGCCAACCGCGGCGAGCCGTCGTCATTCCCGCATGACATTTCCTCGGGTTTTTTCATCGTCATATTGTTTCCACAACGGATGAAGATAATTCCGTGTCTATAAATAGATACGGCTGACAAAAGGAGAGCCTAATAAAAGCGTACTCTAGAGACCGCATGCGTTCGAGCGTGAAGTCAAAATAACGTTTCTGCCGGCGACAATTAATATTAATGTGTAGAGGTTCGGCCTATTAGTCATCTTGTGTGTTCTAAAAATATCAATTTTAAGCTGAAAAATTGATTAATTCCTCTCTCGTGGTATACACATGATACAGCGTACCATGAACGAATTTTCTATTTACATAATATTATCAAAATTCGATTTTTCAAGTTTCCGAGATAAATTTATGGTAGCAGAGAATATTAACATTTAAAATAACAAATCTCCAATACGACAAAATCAAATGTAAACGTAGATAATTTTTCATGCAAAATTACATTTTTTTATAGATCTGCGTCTGATAAAAAAAAAAGATCAATACTCTGTGATTTATTTTGTTGGATAATGATCGAAATAATTATTCGAAGCTATAATTATTCGAAGCGGTGCTTTGCTTTGTGTTAAAAAATCATTTCTTGGGTAATATCTTGGGTTTTATAATGTAAAAGTCTGGAGAATTTATATCAAACGTGGCTCGAAACGTTTCTTCTTTTTTAGTAACGTAAGCGTGTCGACAATTTGAATTTATGTTGCGTGCAAAAAATTTTAACGAAGAGGTTTGCAACGAAGAGGTTTAGCAGCGTTGTTCTCAGGGAGGCAGATATATCATTTGAAAATTACGGCGCCGCTTGCAACCTGTACAAACAAACCAGCCATTACGTACCGTTATACGATAATCGTGCTTGACGTCAAATATTAAATGATTTCGCTGCGTGAATCCGGGCTGTTTAAATTGTTCGGCTTGATTGAATGATGACCACTGTTCTAAGTTGTCCGACAACCACTTCAACGTAAATAAGACGGTACCCTATTCTGTATATAAGAGTCGCCTCGTTATACAGGGTGTCCGCTTGTTCGTGGCGAATTGTATATTTTTTGTTGTACAAATACACGCATATACATACGTTTGTATATGTAGATGCGTATATACACGTGTGTTGCAATAAATTTTATAAATAATGCATGATCAAATTGCTTCTTCGATATTTTAGACAGAGGCATTGTCCAAGAGGCATTATTGTTTCTGTTTTATGACATGTTCATTCTGCCAATATCGATTTTAGGAATCGAGAATATTTAATCGAAAGTATTTTATTTTAGCAACGTATTTCATTATTTTCCACGTCGATTAAATTATCTATTAGGAAAGTTGGGCAAATTAATTTTTTAATTAAGTTAAGTCAAAGTTAATGGCTTAATAATATTATAATTTAGCTAAATTTAAAAGTTGCATGGACAAAAAACTTAATTATAGTAAAGTTAAAATTGAATTAACTTAAATTAATTTAAAAGTTAATTTTTCAAATATTGTTTATATTAAGTTAAAATACATTACGTTCTAAATGTCTAATGTTTAAGATTTTATAAGAAAAAGAAAGTTGGCGTCCAGAAAGATAAAAAAAAATGTAAAAAAGTTAATAAGTTAACGTATCTTAAAGATAACCAGTTGAACTTAACTTATTTTAAATTAACTTTCAAATTAACTTTAAATTAAAGTCAATAACTTTTTAACTTTATTATCTTACTTATAACTTTTTAACAAGTTCACTATCCAATCTTGCCTATTAGATGGATGACGTGTTGAAATGGCTATATGACGGAACCGCATTAAAAACGGTTTTCCCTCACCGATGTCGATCTCGATCGTTTTCGATTCAGGTACGATCCCGTCACGGCCGTCTACGAGCGCGGTAATTCGTGCAATAAATTTCGGAGTCAGTTTCGTATTTGCACGGCTCGTTTGCGCGTAGGCAAAGGCGGGACATAACGTCGCCGGTTTCGTCGTCACGCGGCGTTCCCGCGACGTAACGAACCGTGCAAAACCGAAGTCAATATTTTCAGTTTGGCATTCCGTGATTGAATTCTCAAATTTGCACGACGCATTATTAAAGCGGGTCAATACCATCGGCTCGTATATAAAGACTTTTTATTCTCGCGCGGTCTGGCTAATGGCTAACGATAAAGTAATCAACGCGGTTTAATTCACGCCACGCTCGCAATACAATATCGAGCGAAGCTTTTGTGCCGTGTATCATTTTTATGTAAATTCAGAAAATACAATTTTAATCGGACGTGCGAGGTACAAGAAAAAAGAACTTACGTGCGCCACAAAGAAGCACTAATGTGTTTGTTATTAACCCGATTATTCTTTTATTGCGTTCGTTCTCTTTCACGAGATACGCTTTAGCAGAATCATTCCGTTAAATCGCTATTAAAACGGGTGGACATCAGCTCGCGGCATGTTAAAAAAAGAAAAAGAAAAACAGATAGCGCGTGGCCCCTGAAAGATGATATCGCGATATACATTCGTGTGAACGACATAGTTGGAAACATAATGGTCGTCGCGCGCTTATCGATAACGCAGAAAAATTTTATTGAGGCGAATAATCTGAAATCACAAGCACACGATTGGTCTTGCTCTTTTTCCCTTTCTCTTCCCTCTTTCTGTTTTTTTTCTTTTTTAGCGAATCCGCTGTCGTCCTTCGCGCTGTTTTATTCAACGCGTCCGCCTCGACTTTGTTCGCTTTTTTAAAACGTCGTCCAGTGCGGTGCGGACGGATAAAAGGAGAATAGAAGTGTAGAAATATGCATAACATATGCATAATATCGCATCGCCTCGTGTCAGCCGGGCTTAATTAATTTCCTCATAATAACGTAATGGATCTCTGCGCGTCGTTATCGCCGCCGCCTCTATCACGCATCGT